TGGTTTGTCTCCTGTTTTTACATCAACGATGACAAAGATCGTTCACTTGAAACTGGTCTAAATCCATTGCCACACATGGAACAGCACTCTGCCTCACCCAGAACATCTGCAAATGGTTGCTGGAGCTGTAAGGAAAGTACGGTGACAGCGAGAGAGGAAAAAAAAAACGTGTCATATGAATATACTCTCGGCCAAGCCAGTGTTTAAATCACCAGTGGCTTAAATGACGCAAGTCTAAATCCCAGGAGCTTCCTGGGCCTTGTGCAGCGGGTGGGTGCTTCGCATTGGGGAAAGACATCACTGAAACCTGGGAGTGGTGCTTTGTCTTACAAGCACCTCCAGGCTGCAGGGACCAAGCTGTGCCCCCGGATACAGAGAGCCCCCTCCTCTGAGCTCTGCACGTAGCTCAGGGCTGAATGTGGCGCTCACCACGTCCCCTGATGCCACGGTAGCTGAGGGGTGCAGTTTAGTGACACCGAGATGGATGTAAAACCTTACCTTCCGTTTCTCCCACCTCTGTGTTGCATCATCTGTGTTTATAAAGGAGTATTTACAAAAGGCAGAGAGGTATCAAGCTATCTCTGGCCTTCTTCCCGTGTTAGATAGGATGGTAAATATTTTTGGAAGGGATGTAAACCTTAGCGCTTCTGGGAAGAAGCCAAGTGGTACCAGATGGTGGAGAGGAGGAAACTCACCCTATGGGCAGGTTTTTCACAGTATTCTCATAAGCATCTGGTATTTGCCACTGGCAGAGACAATACGGGAGCCAGTGCTCTCTGATCCTGTCTGCCTGCCTCCCTGTTCCCACTACCGGCTGATATCTTGCCTATTCAGGAGATGTTTAGTCAAATATTTATCTCGACGCACGCTTGGATTCAAGGTCTCAGTGGCACTCCTCCTTGGGCAGCAGAGGTGACTCAGCTCACCAGCACATGGCCTCAGCTCACAGGCACGTGGCCATCCTGGTGATCCAAACGTTTTAAGAGGAGTTTGGGGATTTTTCTTAACACTTGGCAAAAATCGCTTTGCTACTGTACGCAGTCTTCTGACTGCACAATGAAGTTGGATCCCCACCACACGCTTAACTAGCAGTGAAATTTTTGCTTTAGCTATTATGTACAAGTTTGGGAAGCGTCAATCACCTGCAGCTCCCAGCTAGGAGCAGCATATGCCTATTGCTTCTCAGGATTTAGCTTCCAGTCCTTTACCAACATACAGATTAGGGGCGAGGGAAAAAAAAACTCCATTGCGTTGCAAGAAATGGTTAGAAACTTCAGTGGAAATGAAATTTCAGTGAACGCTTTGGATGAGGGGATTTTTCTGGGATTTTTGTGCTTTACTCAAACATACCACATGTGCCTACTCCGTAGCTGCCAGTCGGCAAAAGATCTGACTTGGTATTGTTCTGACAGCCCCGCAAGTGTGCCTGCATGGAGCAGATCTCAAGCCAACACTTGAATGAGGACCTCTTGGGTGAACGCAGGACACTTTGCAATGGGACTGGCAAATAGCTACAGTTTCAGGCACACCTTCAGCACACAGCCCTCCCGTGCCTTGCTTCAAGGACCAGCTCTCCACCTCCCCTGGGCTCCAGTTTGGATGCTGTTCTTTGCAGCAGTGTTTAGAGGCTACTGTTTATGTCTTTTGGAGGACCTGTTTTTCCAGCATGGCGAAGAGTTTGCTGGCCACAACCATAATTCTTCTCTGAATATCCCGAAGGCTTTCAAACAAGTTGGTGCATTTTAGAATTTTACTAGCAGTTTCAGTGCACAAAATAAAAAGGCTTTGTGGACAGAAGATGAAACCTTCCACTAATACATACTACTTTCATGAGAAGAGTGAATGAACTGGACGGCCCAGTTATACTGCCAGAAGCCAGCATTGTGGGGTGCTGCATAATCTTCTGAGAGACTCCTTTTTCCTCATGGCTCACCCAAATGGGCAAAGGGAGGGATGAAGGCTTTTCACAGGAAGGTTCTGGGAAAAGAAGGAAGAACGGTGCACGACAGTTCTTCAGGCAGCTGCTGCTTGGCAAAATGCTCTAGCTGAAAACAGTGCTTCATCAGGCCAGAAGTGAAGCACCTATCATAACAGCACAGATCATGAGCGTTGCACATTTTCCGTTATCGCACAGCTTTGTTGCACAAAACCGAGCTCCTGCTGTCGCAATCTGGATGGTGTGTTTCAAAACATGAATCAAGGATTAGTCCTTGGCGCTGATTTATGAGAAAATACCAACGCCACAGAGGACTCATAACCCGTGTAAATGATCCATGGAGCACGTGTTTTACGAGACGGGTCCTCAGCGCGTGTAAACTGGAGCATGGCCTTGATGCACACGCTGCGGTGAGGGCTTCCTGGGCTGCCTTGGAAGGTCCTGGGAGAGTCCCACGGGGCTTGCTCCTGCCCCTGCGCCCACTCCCACACCTGATGAGTGGGCTTTGGGAGAGCCACCCCCCTCGGGGGGGGGAAGCGGTAGCACAGACCGGAGCTGTGGTGCTGTCTGCGGTAATACTGATGGAGCCCTGTAGAGGGAACGCTTCGGTAAGACTTCAGCAGGGCTGCGTATCGCCGTGATGCATCAGGGACCAAACCCGTCCTTTGTGTCACCTGCTGAGCTCAGGAGTTAACATCAAGAGCAATTTTACCCAGTAGGTTGCTTTTTTTTTTTCTAAAATTCTTATCACACTATAATTCTCTTTCAAATTTCATCCCTGACTGAAGAGGGTGGAAGTGTCCGTTTGATTCAGAGCAAGGGACAGGCTTTGATGCTGTCTTACATGGGCATCAAAAGCCGGAGATGACACGCATGTTAAGAGTGCTTTTCGCTGGCAGCTTGCAGAAGGCCCCGTGGCCAGATGCAACAATTGTGAATCCGTAGCGTGCTGTTTACCAAGGTCTCCTACGCTTCATCTCAAACCGGCACAGGGAAATCGTGATGCCTTCTGAACAACACCGAGAAATTGGGTTTGTTCACTAAAGCTAAAAACCACAAACCCACCAAAAACACCCTGATACTATGGATCGCGCTGATCAAAAATCTGCCTGCAACACCGGGTTTGCTATTGGTCATAAAACTGCACGCTGACCTAGCCTTGCCCTCTAAGGTATCACAGAACTTCAAACACCTGCCTCATCCCAGCCCTTGGATCCACTGTGTCCACAGATCACCTGGGCCACAGACACCTTCTGATACCACCCAGCTTCACGCCTCTGCTCTGGCACTGCTGCCTTGCCTTTCCAAGCTAAACGGATTTCCCTCTCCTGCAACGCAACGACCGCCTTGAAAGGAAGAAGAGGGAGCAAAACAGGCAACGACACATGGTGTCCACCCGATTTGGGTCTCACTCGCTCCAACCTGCTGACCCCATCCCTCTCTCTTCATTGCTAACGGAGGAGTGTTCCCCCGGGTGTTCGCCAGGACCAGACGCCATCTGGGCACTCGGCAGCTTCACTGCCACCTCCAGAGCATACAGGACTCTGGACGCCCAAGCACACCAGGTCACCATGCTTCAATGGCCACCTGGGCACCAGTACCACAGCAAACCTCTTGTGGCTGGCGGCAGGGTGGATCTGCACCTAACTTTTCCGAGAGCACAGACGTACCCACCGAGTGCTGAGAGGAAGTCTTAATCATCACGCTGACTTCCTCTGCGGATGTTAATAAGCTCCTCGCTTCCTCTGAGGAGCCCCCCTGTCTGCTGGGCTCAGTTTCTGCACAGGCATCAATAAACCGCAAACTTCACCAGGTTTCATTTAGAAAAAAACCAGCCTTTCTTGGAAAAAAGATGAAGCAAGTATCAGGCAGGCCGGGCAATACACTGCCTGGGCCAGGCACCACCACCACGGTGTAGCTGCGCCTCCGCCTGCAGTGCAGCCACCGGAGGCTTCTCCTCTGCTATTGACTTCGGCCAGCGAGGAACATCCGCTCTGCAGGGTCCCCCCACTCTGCTCCTCCTTCCTCAGCCACCAGCCGGGGATCTGCTAGTCAGATCACCGCTTGGGAGGGTCTGGGAGAAGCACTTTCCGCTTCCTGTGGGGAAGGATGTGATTAGAGCCTTGTAAATAAAAGGCTTGGCTCGGCAGACGCCTGGGTGCCTTCGAGACACGACGCAGCCGTGAGCAGCGGCAGCGTGCCCCATTGCAGAAGGTCCTACCTTCTGGTGGCCTGGCTCAGGGTGGTGAGAAGCAGGAGATGAGGCATAGCCTGGCTATGTGCTGTGCTGGCCGTGACCCGTCTGGGACATCTCAGAGGGGTCCCAGCCCCCGGGAGCAGTGGCCCCCCGGCACAGGCACCTGCTGGTTTTGGAAACATCCCAAGGGTTGACTCAGGAGGGGCTGACCGGCCACGGCCAGGACTGCACCTTCTGGAGAGCTGCCACCAAGGTGGGCACCCAGGTCAGAGCATAGCTCTGGTGCTGCTCCTGGTCCCTGGTGGCCACTGCTTGGCCTGCTTGGAGCGATCCCCCTGGAAGGGAGCTAGGGGAGAATCGTCCTCTTCACATCTCCGCATCTGGGCGGCGTGTCACCAGGGATCCACCACCCACACATCCCGCGTCAGGGAACTCGCGTCCACGCTCTGTCTTCAGCTCCTCTGACCCTTTTGATAACAAAGAGGTAAAAGCTGCTCTGGGAGAGGAGCAGGACCAGCAGCGGCCATGGAGGGGTTGAGGAACCGCAGGGAAGTCCTGCGGTTCTGCTCCAGCAGGGAACAGGCGGTTGTCTCAGTTTGCCAGGGTACGTCTGGGCTCAGGAACCAAGAAGCACAGAGCCGTGCAGAAAAACATCCGAGAAACTGCAGCTTTACTGAGACTCGGCAAGACAACACCAAAAGGCAGAAGTTGCAATCCTCCATCCTTCTCCATTCTGATGTTCCCTCCACGCGCGGGCCATCTGCTCCGCATCCCACGCTCTGGCATCGGATTTGATGTTTCCGTATAGCGAGAGGCCCCGGCCACCTTCCCAGCACGGTCAGCAATCTGAGGTTGCACCGGGCTCACCCTGGTGACAAACCATTCGCCGAGGTTCCCCAGAACACGAAGCTGGCAGCTCCCTGGGGCTTTTTCAGGACACCAGTGCAGGAAATAGCTGGCAGCACCGCTCCGTCCGGGTGCACCTTCCATTTTTACAACGTGGCCACCGGCCAAAAGCAGCCCAGAGAGCGATGGCCAGGCCCAAGGAAACGTGCGGTAGCCGAAATGTGAGGGAAGGTGGTGCGGGGACGTAGGAAATCTGCCTGGGAAATCCGCTTCACCGACTTTCTGCGCCCCTTGCCGGGCCCTGCCCGCTGACGCCGGCACCCCCGCCCCCGGCCCCCGGGACCGGGGCGGATTTCACCGAGGATTG